TCTAGGTCTTCAAAATCGGTCAGGTAGATTGCCGCACAGAATAAAGTGAAAATAATGTTTTATGCTTGCCAGAATGAAAAATAGAACTAAAGGAAAATCTAGCATTAGCACCAGTGAAAAATACAAAGGGATACAGGTGCAATAAGCCGCAAAGGCATCCAATAAGCATATTAATGGACCTCAAAGATTATTCAACATTAAACAGGGCCTTAAACAACGAATCAATACTTGGGCCGGCTCGTAGATGGCGGCTACAATCGCTTTGATGGCAAGCGGTGGCGCGCCGGCGTAGTCAAAATGTGCGTACCTCCCAAGCATAAGACCGACACGCTGACGACCTGTTTGGCGCCAGTAGTCAAGGAAATCTTCCATTAATTGTCCATTCTCGAATTGAACATAGTCGATATGTCGGTAGGTCTGGCGGTCCAGAGTTATGGGGCTTGGCTGGCACTTAGTACAAATGCCGTCTGGCCAAGGCGGGTGCTCATGGCAACCTATCCTGACGCGGCAATTGACGTGCTCGAGGCTGATAAACTTGCCCCTATCAGAGAGCAATGTCAAATGAAAAGATATCGTGCCTAAATAACATATTTCCAAAGGATAAAATATAAAGGCTTGTTTTACTTTACTACTTGTTATACGAATTAAGTAGGATGAATGACTAAATTTAAATCATAGGAATGTGGCCCAAAATATCTCTTGTACATCTGACCACGTCAACTACTGGCCAGAACAACTAAGTGGATAATCCTAAGAATCGGTACTCCAACAGATACTCACAAGAAGATTGATATAATACTCAGACAGTCAAATCAAAGATCGATCTCCAGTACATAAGTTGAGATATCGAGACAGTGATCCAAAGCACATCCATTAACGGATCATTCATAGGTTCGATTCGATACACATCAGCTTAGCTATCCATATGGATTTTGATACCATGTAATTCATGAAAGATTAAACCTTTATCCCGATGGTGAAAGAGACATTTTATATAATATTATCGTGGAGGTTGTAAATACATGTGAAAAATTATCTGAAGAGATGAAAACAGAAAATAGGGCGAAAATACCCGAGAATCGTAGAATATCAAGAATCCATGAATAGTAACTGATTAACGATACATAAAAAATTACAAAGGAACGACCAAATAGTCCTTCAGAAGAATGAGTGGTAAGTGACAGTGATACTGGACAGAAAACAATATACGGATAAAACGGAAGGCATGTCAGTAGAAAGAAGCATTTACCGAATACCCAATAATAAAATACATCCAAACGAAACACATGACGAAGAAATTGACTGCTGGATAAGTGATTCCTCATAAGGAAAGGACGCAAAACCACCGACAACCTTACAGAAGGAAAACAAAGGAAATAACGACGGCTGATAATCAACAAGCATGGAGTAAAATTCATGTGCTTAAAGATTAAGAGGGTAGACAACATTAGTAAACAGTGTAAATAATTCATCCAACTTTTATCAAAAGATAGAAGACGTAGGACAAGGAGAAATTGATTTTTTGGTAGGTTTGACTTATAACTTATGTACCCAATCAGCTTATAAGAGAAGACATTCACGACTCCGATTGCAATCTTGTAACTTAAAGAAGATATCTTGGAAGTAGAGAGGATCCAAAGTATGTAATCCGACTCATTAACTCAACACCTACTTCACATTCAGCCGCAATATATGTGAACACATATTTGGAATATCAAAAGGATCTACACTCTCACGAATATAGACAAGTTAAGTAAGTGATTCGAAATATCAATACTGTAATAAATAGTGCTCATGCAGTACCTGGATGACTACTTCGCATTTTGTTAGAATGGTAAGGAAAAATGAAAGAATTTAAAAAGCTTACGAAAAAGATTATTTAGGCAGCAATTAAATAGTTTAAGAATAATATTAATTTTAAATGCAATTTTTAAAAGAAATAAAACGAAGGCCGGGGAGAATGGGAAGCTATCCCTCTTGGATGCTGAGGTAATTTGCCTCAAAGGAACACTCATGAGAAAACAATTCCGAAAAAAATCCCCAA